TCACAAGATGTTGTTAGTGAGCCGTGAAGTACAGCAGGGTGCTAGTGGTGTGTGTGTACCACTTAAAACCTGAGTTGAACTGCACGGGGTGTGGCACTGTGTGCGTGTGTGCATGCGCATGTGTGTACTCATGTATGCATGTGTGCGTGTGCGTGTGCAGCATGTGTTTGTTTGTGTGAGTGTGTTTTTATGTTTGTCTATTGCCTTCCTCTTATCAGCTGTTTATATTTCAACTGGGAGCATTTGTACGTTGTTTTTCTTATCATCTGTATGTTTATGTTGGTAAGGTTGTTTTCTTGTCCATCCCCCCCCCCCCCCCCCCCGGCCCCCACCCTCCCCATTCTATCCCAAGTAGTCAAGATCAGAATTCAGACATGGACTGTTAGGTGTGACTATTGCTTCACTCAGCCCCACTATGAACTTGGCCTATATCGCTAAGTTCCATCATCACATCCCGTGCCAATATTTCGGAGCATATTATTAATTTTACTACCACTCCGGTGGCTGGTAGCACTGTGTTATTTCACTGTGTTTCAACCAGATGATCTGGAGATTGCATCTGACGATCAGGTTCTTAACGTTGGATCTCACAGGAATACTGAACGTATCCCAACCGAATCTGACTGGCTCACCAAATGTGGGCAAGTAAAAATGACATTGTGCTCTATATGGAATAGCGCATTGTGTCCGCTGATCCACTGTTCGGGTCTTCTGCCAATACTGTACCAGTCAGGTACCGGTTGGTTTGTGTTGTATCTGCAAGGTGTGCTGTTCGCGGATCACAGAGCAGCACTTCTGAAGGCAATACAACGCTGGGGGAGTCCCGTCACGTCCGTGAACAGGAAGTTCTATTCTTCCACTCGACCCAGCCATTGCGACGAGCAAGACCCCGACCATTCTTCCTCTTCGCATGCGTCAGTAGAGGTTCAGGATGCGTGCGTCGACATGACTGATAATTATTAGTCTGTAGATATATCCTACCTGGCTGCATACTGCTGTGTGGCTAATCCAAGTGATCCACTGATCCAACTTTCCAAGGAGATTCGAGGAAACGCCAGCTCCAAATGACCATGATGACCCAACTCCTTACGCCCATGCAGTGTTGTTATTACACATGGTTAGCATTTTATCGGCTCACGCTAAACCCAACGGTACTCGTACCCAACACCCAAAATACCGTCGGTTTGGTATCGTTTCGTTGATAGAACTAGAAAGCTCTGATCTGTTAGCGGGAGAACGAAACGGTAAGATTCCATGCAACTAGGGTAACGTCACAAGTCGATCGTTGTGTCAGAAACCGACATGCTAACCATGACATTGTCTGGAAAACACACAAAAAACGGTAGGGTCTACACGCCGACGGTCGGCCGTTAAAATGATGACCATGTCTATTGCCGGTGCATTGTTGGATGGTTGGTTGGTAAAATGTAAAACAGAGCGGAAAGGAAGATGTAACTGGAAGGAAAGGAAACCGTAGCAGGGCCCTGGCTCTAGTCCTTGGCCGAACATGCTCGACAAACAATTTTTAATTGGCAGATTCTGCTCGAAAGGCAGTGGAATTGGCAGAACCATACAAAACTCATGGAAGGCACTTCCTCCGTTTCTTTATCCACATACGAAGCATGCATGAAATACCCCAACATAAGTACCACTGCTTGATGGACTAAATGTGAACCTCGCCTCGAACTGAAGCCCATGCACATCTAATAATTATTGTGCGGCAGTCTACAGAGTTTGGGTCGATACATCATTTCCGTTTACCCTGCATCGGGACGCGGGCCGCATCTTGACACATCCGCGATGATAATAATGACGTGAATGTGAAAGTACAGTCAGTCACGTAGATGGTTCAACCTTTCCGATCCAGGCTACAACAAAATTATTTTCTAGTCTCATTTCCACTACAGCCGCAGTAAGCACTATTTCGTTCTCACTGGCTTTGTTCGTTTGCCGCTCGCTCTCCAGACACAGTGCAGTGCTCACTGGATTAGACGCCCAAGCCAAGGTAGGGAACGCACGCACCTGTATCTGCTGGGCAGTTGGGGAGCAATAGTCAAGCTGGCGTGGGAAGCAGACACTCGACAACAGTAGATCTACTTGTCGATGCCTCCGTTGTGATCATGATGAGTAGTGAGCTCTCAGGCTTGAAGTTGAAGCCAGGCTGTGCGGTAGCAGTCTGATGAAGCACTTTCACCTGTAGGGCTTTCAGCGGACTGGGTGCCGTCGCTGAGCGCGTACCAGCTGCCAACCTAAGGTAAACTTCCTCTCCACCGTGTCAAGAAGTATCACCGCTTCGCCGAGTGAGAGGAAAAGGAATATCAGACAAACTATCAGTATTTTGTTGTAAAGATCCGAACTATTTGAAACTATTGAGGGGTCCCGTGGGTCGAACTGACCATCTGCTAAAAAAATGTGTTGGGGTCGCGAAGCGGAGTACTGTCGTACGTACATGGGGGATGTGGTCGACGTGCTGGAGTCCAGCGGGCGGCTCGAGCAGCAGGCAACGTGCGTGGACTGGATCCGTGATGTGTCACGAGTGCTCATACTACCTGTATTCGTCGCCCAGATGGTTCTCTACGATGGATTTGGCTACTGGGAGTACGCGTCCGAGAACGCGATGAGGCCTCTCTTCTTCACGCTGGACGCTCTGGTGCTGCTCATGTTCCTGTTCATGATGGTGGACTGGCATAGATACGCCTACGCCATGGCCTGGGCGCTGGAAGAGCTCTGGAAGCGGGAGCCACTCACCCTGCTGACACCGCTGGCCCCCGGCAGCAGCAGCTTCATATGGCACGAGGTGACCGCGGGGAAGTCCCTGATCCCCTACTACGGCTGCTGGGTGTTGTACATGTCGGCTAGCGTGATTCCACACAATGTATGGATGCTGATGACGGCGAGCAATGTAGACACGACGGCAGACGATGACATCATCCTGGTTCCGCCTAGCTTCACTGCGTGTATATTCCTGATCAACGCGTGCATCAACGTTGCGTACCTGTACGAAGTGGACACTCCGGCCGGAACGAACTCCGCCCGTGCGTTGTACCTCGTCCTCCACGGTACCAGCAAGAGTGTGATTGATGTGCTGGATGCCGAGGCGTTCATCGACGAAGCGTTCGGTGTTCAGGAACGGTTCGGCGTGTTGAACTACTTGGTCCTGGCCTTCGTCGTGCTTACGTCGGCTTCTGCACATCTGTTGCTGATCACGTTGTACGTACACTTGCGCACGTCTGAACTCTGGAACTATGAGAGCCTGGAGGCCATGCTGGGTGCGGTGAGCAAGAAGACGCGCGACTATGGCCGCGCGACGGTGCTGTTCTTCGTTTCCATTCTTCTCATGGACATCACGGCCGACCTGATCAAGTTCTTGGTGCGTATCTTGCTGGCCGTCGCCAGGATGCGCAGCCTGTCGACGTTCATCTACAAGAACGCCTACTATTCGTCCATGCATGGCCTGCAGGTCTATTCGCTCATGCTGCTACTTGCTTCCTACAGAGAGAGCAACGTTACGAGTAACGCCACCACTTAACTTAGAGTGTGATCAGCCTCGGGAACAGGCCAAAACTTGATTACTCACCGGACTCTAACTGTGGTCTTTCTGTACAGGTGGCCCCCGTCTCTAGGGGTATTTCACTGGAGATGACCCACTTCGGTCCGAGTTCTTAGCTGTCCTCTGAAGCACTTGGTCCAATGAACATGTTTCACTGTATTTGATCCATTTTTTGTATTTGAAATTCTTGAGATCCAATGTCAACTCCGTAGAAGATCTGGTATATGCGGTGCGAATCAATGAAATCCGGTCGCGTGAGTCACGTTGGCACCTTGCAGCTTTTCGCAGCCCTGTGTTCGCAGGTCTAGGGCCGCGCAAAGCCTGGCGTGTGCTTGAGTTAGCCCTCGGCGGATAATGCTCGAAAAGGTGGCAGATTCTGCTCGAAAAGCATTGAAATTGGTAGAACCATACAAACCTTATGGTGGGCAATTCCTCGAATTCTGCTCCATATCTTTATCCACTCACCAAACATGCATGAAACGTACCAGAAAAAGTACCGAATTCTGCCATTTTTTCTCCCGGCACCGTCCGCCAAAGCCTAGCTTGAGTGACTCGACGGGATTTTTTCATTGAGCAGCACCGTATATTCCAACTTCCTACTTGTAGCTTGCCATCTCATGGTCTGGACTTCGGTCGTGGGTTGCCCTTTCTTGTCGATTTTCTCGTCACTCATGCTTATCACAAGCACATGCTTATCACAATCATGCTAAGACCAGATTAAGGTGACTGACTGCTCCAAACTTTGGAGATCGCGCGATTCCTGCCTAGGGTGTTCGGGCTGCCTGTTTTGGAACCAATCCATTGCCCGATGACCGTGACGACGGGAGATTCGCCGTAGCAACGCAACTTCTTCTCTCACTGTTGTGAGCGCTGTATAACCATAGCCAGTCAACGTCGTATAACGACCTCACCAATAACGTCAACTCGCGAATAGCGACTAACTCTTCAGACGTTTTAGCTGCAATATAATATATCTGCATGCTTTGCACGCTGTATACTTTCATCCTCATGAGTGATGACAGCTCTCGAATAACAACACTTTTGTAATGAATGATCGAGGGCCGAAAGCAGAGTACGTATTGCACTTCGAAGGAACTGATTCAGTGATAGTGCTGATGGTGTCACCATGTTGTCACGGAACCATCCAGGGATATTTACCCGTTGCCCCGGTTATGTCACCATGACAGCCTGTCAGAGACGCATTATTCAAACGCTGCGGCTGGCTCAGACTCAGAGTCTGTATAGTACTAGTAGTACTTCTCTCGACTGAGGCTGTGTTCGGTGTTGGACTGACACCGATCGAGCGTTCATATGGTTCACGTGCGCGTGGACGTGAAGGTTTCTCTTTACCTGTAAACATTACAATCAGTCATGTGCCCTGACAGTGTGTACTCGCACTCGCTAGGTCGGTTCGTTGTCGAATGACTAGTTGCGGCGTGCTTTTAGCAGTTTCGGAAAATAATTATTGTGATTTGCAATTTCAATTTGAGAGCAACACCTATTCTCACTGGGGATCAGTTTTGCCATTCAACTCGCCTGTGAGCCATGCAAACCAGAACCGTGCAAAGTTGAAACCCGTGTCACAAGTCAAAGTCGCCACCTTTCCGTGCCGATTGGCAAACCGATAGACGTGCCTTGGAGGAGAACATAGGGCAAGGCGTTGTATTCCAAGATAGCTGCAAACGAGAGTCAGTTAGAGGAGAAAAGGACAATAAATCCGGTTGCTCTCAAGCCACACGTGAGCGGTCCAAAGAAGCTGAGTGACGATACGTTCAATTGGAGAGGTAATCAGCCCACACGTTCAGAGTGGGCGGAGGTGCAGGCTGGAGGTAGTAGTGGTACGCCTCACGAATCATCATGTCTTGTTCGACCGTCGTGGAGCTAGACACGGACATACCCACTGACCGTGGCACGCTGGGCAAAGGACGCATGATCTTCACCGGTAAGTAGATCTGGCTGCAACGCTTTCAGCAGCATCAGCTGAATGCCATTCATAGAAGGCGCACCCCCACCCTTTGAATTATTATTCGGTACGCGGCAAAGTGATATCATGTGTATCAGTGTCTGCTCCAGCGCCGGGTCAGCGACCCAGTTGGGGGGGGGGGGGGGGGTACATGGACCAGTTTGGAAAAAGAACACCGGGTCACCTATGACCTGGTCCGGAATACAATATACATCAGGGAGTCGTAAAATATTTACTTTTGGTCCCTGATGTACGTGCAGTAGCCGCACTTGAACGAACCCGGTTGCAAGAGTTGTGCCAGGTACACGTGTACCCGGATAGTTTGAAATCCTAGAGCAGACCCTAGTGCACTTGAACATACCCGGCTCTGACCCGGTTGCAATGATTGTGCCAGGTGCACGTGTACCCGGTTGTTTTCGCCCCCCCCCCCCCCCCCCCCCCGGAGGTGTATGTATTCATTGTGGAAACTATCCTAAGGTGATTGTGAAATCCACTGGGCACACCTAACAACAGAGGCTATCCTATTACATTATCAGCTGAGATGCGTTGGCAAAGTCACTGCAGAGCAATTTTTTTTTTAATTGACGGGTTCGCGTACCGGGCAGGTCAAGAACAAGGAGTCGTACAACTCCCTGGTCAAGAACCATCTTTCCGCTTCCGTGGGACGCCACCACCCCATGATCAGGCGTCAGATGCGGCTCCCAAACGGTGGGGGAGGATAGATCAGATCCACCAACCAGAGGCCAAAGGCCTAAATCCCATTTGCCACGTCCATGTTTCACTCATGCCAGGCCACGAGTTCCCAATTAACTATGAGTCGCAGCGCGGTTGGAAAAAATCCTTCCGCTTCCAAGCAGGACTTGAACCTGGTACCTCTCGTTTCTCAAAAATGGTCTTAGACCAACCCACTGTGCCTAGAGCAATGCACTAGCTAAATCGAATCCGCCGACCCATACTGAATACATGGCACCGAGAGTACATAACCTCAAGACTGTGCAACTGACCGAGGCTGCACAACATCTATGCTGTGCTGTGACGGCAGAACTTCACATCACGTGACATGGTTCAAAAGGTTACACTGGCAAACAGTAAGTACAACGTGACCACAAGAGAGTTGAGCCCAAGGCGACATTGAGTAAACCCTGTATCTATCATGCGCAGGGTGAAAACGATTTGTACGAGTGTGCCAAGTGAGGAGAGGTTCTGTCGTCACAGACCCCATAGATGGAGTTGCACACTCTCAGGGATCATGCACAACGGATCTACAAGTTCAAGAAAACACTTAAAGGGGAAGTTAAGGCAAAAATTAAAATTTCACCAGTTGTAGTCTTCGGGGTGCTGAGTCGAATGGTCTTGGTCCGAGAAAGCTGAGACGCTCCCTTCCTACTTGAATCCCAATCGAACTCGCGCACTTCCACCGAAACTGGGTGACTGCGCCCTACTAGATGGGGATTTGTATGCAAAATGTCACTAAAAGCGCCATTTCGTTCTTATAAAAGCACGGATGACCGCGATTGGCCCATATGTTGTAGTCTTTTGGACGCTGCGTCGACTGGTTTTGGTCCGAAAAGGCTGCGATGCAGCGTTCCTCCTTTATTCCCAATCGAACATGGTTGAACAAGCGGTCACGTGCTCCTGGGTGCCCAAATCACCTGGTCACCACGCCAGCAGGCGACAACTTTCACACCAAGGTTCAACTCGAGTGACAGGAGTGCACCCAAAAAAGGTCAAACAGGCTAGTAAGTTGTACTCCCGCAGGCACGGTGACCAGGTGACTGGTGTACGCAGGAGCACGTGACCACTTGTTCAACCATGTTCGATTGGGAATAAAGGAGGAACGCTGCATCGCAGCCTTTTCGGACCAAAACCAGTCGACGCAGCGTCCAAAAGACTACAACATATGGGCCAATCGCGGTCATCCGTGCTTTTATAAGAACGAAATGGCGCTTTTAGTGACATTTTGCATACAAATCCCCATCTAGTAGGGCGCAGTCACCCAGTTTCGGTGGAAGTGCGCGAGTTCGATTGGGATTCAAGTAGGAAGGGAGCGTCTCAGCTTCCTCGGACCACGACCATTCGACTCAGCACCCCGAAGACTACAACTGGTGAAATTTTAATTTTTGCCTTAACTTCCCCTTTAAGTAAACACTGAACATGCGTCACAAAAAGGTGAACTTCGATTTCAAGAGTTCCATCTCAATCCAAGCACATGGACAAAGTGGCAGCCAAGATGGCTCAGAAAATCGGGGCACTCTGGCGCGCACGCCGCTGCCTCAGTGAAGCTGCAAGGGCACGGTACGTGACCTCCGTAGTACTGCCAGACGCCCTATACGCCTCGCCCTCTTTCAGTGGCTCACTGTCGAGTGCTGAGACCAGGAGGCTGCAGGTTTTGCTGAATCGAGCAGTCCGCACTGTCTACGGTGTGCCCACGCGACACTCAGCTGAACCTTTGCTGACCCGGCTGGGAGTTTTCCAGGTGTCAGAGCACTTCCACCAGAACACCTTAGCTCTTGTGTGGAAGAGCCTACACGGTGAGACATCGCAGTCCGTCACAGAACTAATGACTCCACAAATGACCAGAGAAACCCGCCTTCAGCAGCGGGACGAACTCAGTCTTCCAGTTGCAAGAACAAACGCTGGCAAGTCGAGGTACGCCTTCAATGCTACAGGTAAATGGAACAGATCACCTGGAGACGTCCGCTCCAGCACAACTCTGGAGACCTTCAAAGCTGCAGCAGTACCCTACGCAATTGCTCGTTGACTACATGCAACAGTAGCAAATGCCATGTTTGACAATGGATCCGATTTCCAGCTGACTATCATTTCCGGTGCATACACACTTTTTTCTTTCCTTTTTCTCTCTCTCTCTCTCTCTCTCTCTCTCATTTTTCTTCCCTCTTAAGATCTTCGCTACCTTGTCATTGGGAAGAAATTCCCGTTTGGATTTTGCGAAGTAAAACAAAGGTAAAAAAATCCCTGGACTTTCGCAGGACATCCCTGGACTTTCGCAGCACATCCCTGGACGCTGGGACAAACACCCTATTCCCTGGACTGTTCCGGGAAACCCTGGACGGTTGGCATGTATGTGTACGGTAGCACCTGTAACTAAAGACCACCGTGACTAGCAATCAGCCTGCTACCACAGTAAAACCTGTAACTAAAGACCACCGTGACTAGCGACCAGCCTGGTACTACAGTAAAACCTGTAACTAAAGACCACCGCGACTAGCGACCAGCCTGGTACTACAGTAAAACCTGTAACTAAAGACCACCGTGATTAGCGACCAGCCTGGTACTGCAGACCACTTCAACAGGCACGGATGGTCTCACATTCATTATTATTATAATGTTGTGCAGTGCAAACCTCCAACTAAGGACCACCTGCCACTAAAGACCGCTTTCTCTGGCCCCGAGGGGTGATGATCAGTGACATCATTGTGTTACTGTACTCGTAATAGTACCCATAAGCGGAGACTCCCTCGATTTAGGCTAGGGCCTGTGGAGAATCCATAAATACAAATACAAAGCAGTTCCGTTGACTTTGACTACTTTGTGTTTGTGTCCATGGTTATCTTCACGACCTGAAATGATGCTACCCACACTACCTCCCACACCAGAGGCCAAGCATCCAGTAGTCTCTTTCTCCCCCCAGTCATCTCCCGGCCAGGCCTTTGCAGTCTCTCATTTCTTGGTGCTGACCGCTTTAATGCACTACCCGCTATCATTCGATCCCAGCCTACTTTGCCTGCTTTTCGCGCTAGCTGCTCACAATTTCTCCTTGGGCAACCTGTAAGAAGGCCATAGGCCTGTTGGGTATACCCAAGTAAAATAATAAATACTACTACTACATGGTTTGTGCGCAGGTCCACAGGGTACTCGAGATCATCGCATGACCCTACTGGACGGTACACACACCGGAGAAGGGTTTGAAACACCGGAGAAGACGTCAGACCTCAACTACTTGCTACGTGCGTCGGTAAGAACGAGTGCATTGCGAATCATATCAGCACATCTCCTCTCCCCTAACCTATCCTTGTCCTGTTGACCGGTGTCACTTCTCTTTTCCTCTTTCCCTGATTGTGAGTAGGGCGCTGTGTTTGCTAGTAAAAAAAATCGTAAAAATCTTGATTCTACAAGTTGTTATACGTGAGAAGGAGGAGAGTTTCACACATCAGGATTCCAGCCAAAGGGGAGTAGGGGAGTGAGGGGGGCGGGGGAGGGGGCAGCCCCTACCCCCCCCCCCCCCTTATCTTACTCTCATCGAGCACCCTGTTGTTCAAAAGAGGCGAGCCATACTAATTATTGTCGGGTTGCGTGTTTTTTCATGCTATTGGAAGAAAATGCAGTCAACAGTCAGTAGCAGAGGGGTCATAAAGGCACGCCTTGTCTGGGGTGAAGTCGGGGATTCGCTCCCGTACATTGCAATTTTTACGGCAAGACATTTTTGGAAAACGGGAAAGTCGGTTGCGGGATAACTGTTTCCCCGTAACCCATTTTTCCAGTGCTGCTCTGTAACTGTCCTTGACACCGAGTGTTCACGTGCGCGTGCACTTCGCATAACAATGCTATGTACATGCATGTAGCGGCGACTGTCACGGATATTCTTTCCTCCAAAACAGCATCCGGCGTCGAGGATGCGGCATAATAACGAAGTCTGGCGCACACCTGCAAGTTCATACTGCCCACTTGGTACAATATTGTAGGCATGTAGCCCTGCCGTTGGAGGTGGTCCGGCCGTGGGGTGGTGGGGGGATGTCCCCGGGGGAAATTTTTGAAATTAGGGTGCGAAATCCTGCATTCTGGGCACTTCTAGGCGAAAAAGTGGTCCGGCCAAAGCTGGACCGGCCGGATCGGCTGCTACGCCCCTGTGTTGTCTCAGCCTACGTGTACCGGTGTACCTGTCACGCGTTGTCTTTGTTATCAGGAGGATCACATACCTAGCCGCAAGAGCCAGTCCGTGCCGTTCGGTTCCATCGGATGGGGAATTCCCAAGAAGCAGGACTTCAGCGTCATGGACTCAGGACATCAGATCAAGGTACCACATTCATGCGTTCTGGGGGCGTCGGAACCGGTGCGCCAGGTGCGGCCAAAGCTGCACCAATAATTTTATCGTCTGTTTTTGGAGCATTTAAATATGGGCCATTTGGGCCCAAAATTCCAAAATTCCCGCGGGAGGGCCCTTTCATGGCCGCTCTAATGTTGAATACCTTCCGAGGCTCCTGGCGTTGGTTGGTGTATTTTTATTTGCACAATAAACGGGAACTAGACCCAATGATATAAAGTCGAATGGACAAGCCACATTTCGACAAGAAAAGGAATTAATTTGTTGAGGCTGCAGATTATTACGAAAGGAGAAATGCATCTGACAGAGGAGTCAAGCGAATAACGGGGGTGGCAGGGTGGGTAAGGAAAGCGATGGAGTTGTTCATGAATGATGCTGAGCTGCTCTGCAAACAAGTGAGGCGTCCCACTGTTCGAACGTTGCGCAATGTTTGCGCAATGAGAGGAACTTGGCAGAGCTTACACACACAGATAGTAGAGAGGTTGTGCAATTCGAATTTCGGAAATTTGTTTCCCACTACTGAGCTTGAGAGTCGGCGCAGCATTCAAATGTTGTGGAGAGTCTAACAGAGAGGCAGTCGGGTCAAACGTAAAATCATGGGCCCGATTTGAAGTATGACTGGTAAAATTGGATACATAAAACGTGTTATATTATGGGTATTCGCAAACGTTTTTCGTCTCTGAAACGAATATCGTTCATTTCGTACTCGGGGGGGGGGGGGGGGGGGGGGGCTCCCTCCCTCCGAAACGAACGCAGTTTGCTATCCTCAGTATGCTGGACGACAAAATCGCATGAATATACATGTACTTATGTATAGTATCGTTCGACTTGTGATTTTGTCTCCCCCCCCCCCCCCCCCCCCAGGAATGATGTTCGTTTCAGGGACGACAAAAAACTTTCGCAACGACCCCCTAATACTATGTTGTGTTCACTGCTGTCCCTGTGTGCGGCTCCAGATTGGCGAGGCAGGACCTTTTCGCCAGCGCAACGAGGATCGGTATACTCATCGTCTTCAGGAGCCGTACTATCCGACGCATGCACCCGATTCGGACAGTGAGTTTCATGAGTAGTATCATTATATAATTCGTAAATTTTACGAAATAGTGGTAGCGACTTTAGAGATGATTTGTTAGGGAAAGCGTGAGTTCCAGTGTGGGGAGCAAACCCTTTCCTATTTATTAGGAAATGGGGTTTATCAACTGACGACGGCTCTATTCTCTCTATAGTACAATGCACCCCTTCCCTTGCACACTGGGTAGACATGCGGAGTATTACATGAATTTGTACACGTGCACTGTACATGATGTCATCTGCGACTTCGGGTTTTTCGGGTACTATTCTGTACCCGACTTCCCGAGGTCCTCACGGGTAGCACAGGTACCCGATTACCTGTGCATACCACTACCTATTTAGTATCCCTAGAACGATATAAAATATCACCTTTGCCGCCACCACCACCACGTGATTAATTGGCAGCAATGGAGCCTCCGCATTTTGAAAGTTTTCCGAACAGTGTACCTGGTAATCGGCTAATTCGTATTTCCTACTCAGGCCCGCGAGAACCGGTGTGCTTAGTCGGGTCATTACCAAATCAACTTTTGGCCACCAACATGAGTTTACTGCTGTGAAGGGCTTGTGTGCCCGCCGGATCCTGCACAAAGTATGAAAGGCCGCATTACTGTCTGACCAAATCGAAAAAATGTGTGTTGCTGAATGCTTGTGTAGGGTCAACTTCTCGACAATCAAGTCGGCCGAGCAAGAATTCTGCTCGTCCAGTCAGGTAAGAACGTTGAAGCGAACATTTATAATCACACTCACGTACACGTGCACACACACACGTGCACACACTCACATGCAAACACACACATGCGCACAAGCACACATACATACACACACACACACACACATGACCACGTGCACACACACACACACACACACACACACACACACACACACACACACACAGGAAAACATGAATGTACTGTATGCGTGCATTCGTGTGTGTATGTGTACTACACATACACACACGAATGCACGCATGCGGACACACACATACACACACGCACGCACATACACACACACACACACACACACACACACATGCACACAGGAAAATATTCACATGCATACACTTACACATAACCAAACTCACGCACTAAACCACATATCAACTCGCACACATAATAAAATATTATAGGCAGCCCCTATTTGAGCACTTTTTCAGCAGTACGAGAATGCACCTAGTGTAGTTTGAGCAGTGGAAGGCAGCTACCGTGTACCAGTAGGGGATCTAATGCTAACAATCGTAACCATAAAGTTATATGCCATGTCAATTACAATACAGTCGACCTACCCTTATAACGATATTTGCGTCAAACCAAGAAATATTGTTATAAGGGTAATATTGTTATAAGGGTAACTGGTTCATTTCATACACATACGTCATAATGCATGGATTTTGTTCATTTTTTACACTCTTTATAGCATAAAACTGACGTACATACCCATTGTGTACACAGCAATTACTACTAGCAAGGTGCCCACTGGTGCCCCCGTTGCATTTCGTCATGTCCCAGCGACGTATCAAGTGAAGCTTGCCCTCCCTGGATAGTGGGCTCTACATATCCCCTGCTAGATATTGTTATAAAATGGAAAATGTCGACTGGTCAGCCCATGTTATATCGTTATAGGGGTAATATCGTTATAGCAATATTGTTATAGAGGTAAGGCATTGTCTACACAAGTCAATGGAGTGATTTGGTTTAGCAGAAAATTATCGTTATAAGGGTAATATCGTTATAGAGGTTATCGTTATAAGGGCAGGTTGACTGTATCAGTATCACCTTCAGACGAGCCATTGATAGGCGAAACAGCTGTCAGAAGTAAATGTTTTACTTTTCATAGTTTGAAATTATTGTTGTGAATAATAGCTACCGATGGTAGCAATGGTCGGCTTTAGAGTGCATGGAGGAGGAGAGTTATTTCGTTTAATTATTCGTAATCCTGATGTGTTTTGGCTTCTTTCTGCAGCGGTGCATCTCATGAAAGCCGTCCACAGTCGTCCAAGAACAGCTCTCGCGCACCCAGCACAATTAACTTGAGTGCAGGCGACTCGGGACCAACCTATTGATCTCAAGTAATGCATGTAGTGGAGGTGAACGATTTTAAGAAGTTGATGGATACAGTAGGTAGGCACCAAGAGTACGCCAGTCGCTGTGAGGTGAGATGGCAGCTCCTGACTGGAAACGTGGCGACTACCTGAATTGAAAGCATCGATGCAGAAGTGCGCTGCTGCCATGAGACTTGATACGCCGTCATCTCAGGAATGCGTGCCGTGGTGGTTAAACTTGCCTGATGAGAGCATCCAGCGGTGGTGGATATTGGATACGCTGCTATTCTCGGATTTATGGATAAGATGCAAATAGGCGAGTGGTGCAGCACCTGGTGAATTGCGCAGTGAGCGGGATGAATGTCCGGTGCTGCATTTTCGCCAGATTAAATTTAGTTCAGCTCCTTTATAGAAAGTTTCCCACTTATTTTCTTACTACTCATCCTAGTTTTTCTAAGATCACTGTCAATGTATTGCATGGTGAAGCTTTGAGGGTCACTCGACCCACCTTGCACGCTGCTGCTGATGATCTGGATTCATTCAACTATGTAAATACTAATTAATTGATTGAGAAATGAGTTCGAGTTTGCAGAGTGAATGTGAAGAGAGCGAGTCTGCTCTGAAACCTTTTTTTTCCTAATTTTAGTAGCTAGCCATAGTAGCGAGTGAGCAGCTTTCTATGCCGCAAACGCCAGAGTAATTTTATTCTTCATTCCAGCAGGGCATGCCATGGGGCGGACATGCAGTAACTAAAGTCATATTAGGTGCGTAGCACCGCTGTTGGAGGTGGTGTGGCCGGAGGGGGTCCGGGGGTGTCCCCCAATGAAATTTGGGTTCAAAATCCTGCATTCTGGGCACTTTTGGCCGTGGTCGGGCGAGAAAGTGGTCCTGCCAAAGTCGGACCAGCTGCTACACCCCTGCTCATGTATTTCATGATTGAGTCTAAACCTATGATGTCATTATGCTAATGAACTCGGCTATTCTTGGTATGGAATGACCGATTCTTGCCCCATAAATTGGGCCACAATCCATTCACATGCACAAGGCAAGAGTAACTGTTGACTGTGAGATATGCGCCTGGATAGTGTGTTCACATGCTTGAACGTATTTTGATAAGCACATACACACCAAATGCACGTGTGTCCACGCGCATACACGCACACGACCTAAATATTTGTGGATAGCAGTCAAATGCCGTCTCATGCGAGCTAGGGATCGAAGCTTCAGAAGTTAGTTGGTTGAGCAATGAGGTTCGAATAAACCCAATCCACCACGGGTCTCGGCAGCCAGCCATTCTGTACCCTTTTTTTCTTTCTTTTTTGACTTTGTTTTATTTCGCATATCCAAACGGGAATTTCTTCTCAGCAACAAGGCAGCGAAGAGGGAAGAAAGAAGAGAGACCTAATTGGAACCCCCCCCCCCCCAAATGACCATAATTATACACATTTACAAACATGCTCACACATACACGCTCACACATACACACACACATACACACTCACACAAACACACTCACACATACACAAACACGCTCACACATACCGTAGTTCCGCGCATATATGGGCTAATATACGAAATAATGCATTTTCCGGGGAAAAAAATCAGTAATGATGGTTCGTTTTTTTAGCGCTGGGCCTATATTCGAATTTTGAAGGCAGCTGGCACGCGAAAAAGTACAAGTCCGTGCGCGGTTGTCCGCCTACCGTAGGTACCGGTACTGGCAATGTAGTCTGCACTGACATGCTGTACTATCGGTTCCGTAACATTGTTTGGGTCCGTTTATTAGCCGATGGGCCTATAAACGGAGGTGGGCTTATATCCGGATATAGGCCCGTGGGCTTATATGCGCGGAACTACGGTACACATACACGCTCACACATACACAAACACGCTCACACGAGCCTGCCGGGTTGTTGACCAGCAGTGCTACCACACGGTGTGTTCAAGCACACACGGACAGTAGCCGCAGCAGGAGAACTCCGTTGCCGTGCAGCGTATACAAAACAAGTTCAGTCGAACCAGGTAAAAGATAGGATGTGGACATGAGGAAGACAATAGTGAAAACTGACCACAATAATAGGCAGCTATTGAACAGTGATCGAGGGGTCGATGCAGGCAATTTCCGAGTGTGGAAATCCTCCAATAACTAAATGACTGTATACAGCTTTGTACTGTACACATGGAACATGCACTGCATCTATAATTATACAGGTTGCGACTAATTCTTAAAGTCGACAAGCCATCGGAAGTTGATTAGAACCAAATGTTCAGCCGAGCCAGACATGCATAATTCGGCGAGCAAAGGCAAGCCAGAATAATGATGATAGTGACGGCACAGCTAAGAGGATTACGGGATCTACACTGGCGACATAGGACATGTTTGAACGGAGTGGCATCATATACACCGGCTTGCTACTCTATACGAAGTATATTGCATGTATCAGATGATGGTATGATGATGATGATGATGATGTCATCCACACAGCATGCATGGTGATCATGTCATCTATATAGCATTATCATTTCCTGATGTCATCCGGATAGCATCTGATAAAAGCGAAATTCCTTGCAATGCAGCGCGGAAAACATACAAGGCAGAATTAATTGCAAGACTGGGTTGGAGTGCAACAATATGTAGATACTCACTGGTGTAAAAGACTGGAGCCGCAATGAAAAATGACCCTTTCAAATTCAAGAGCAGCGTGGGACAAGAATGGGTCCTTGGTTCTTGACTGTGTGACCGGGTTCCACGCTATTCACAATCACACTCTGCTGAACATGCGCAGAGTCTAAAAGAAGAGCCATGATCATATTGACACAGTTCATAGGATACGCTCGTCATTCTGGATACACCCACAATCCGAGCTGCGCTGCTACAATGACTCTGCTCGAGACCCGGTATCCGAGAGTCATCGAAATGGACATGCAAAGGCACCTAATGACAAGGTAGCTTCGTAATTCAAAGATCCGAGCGCGTCCTCACGAGACTCTCCTTCTCCCAAGCCACCTTGTGACTAAAAATATATATAAAATAAAATAAAATTCACGGTTCGCGTGCGACTCGGCTGGAGGCCTAGTTTTCCGCATCCGCAGCAACGCCACCACCCTCTAGGATCAAGTCACTAGTGACGAAGTAGTTTCATTACTTGATCAGAGCGTGTCGCGACGAGACTCTCCTTCTCCCAAGGCGCCCAATCACCTGGTTTCATTTCTCAAAGATCAGAGCGCGTCCCGACGAGACTCTCCTTGTCCCGATGCGCCCAATCACCTAGTTTCATTACTCAAAGATCAGAGCGTGTCCCGACGAGACTCTCCTTCTCCCCAGGCTCACCGACAGCCTGTTTCCTGGTGGTGTACTGCGGGTTGGCGTCCAGGAACTGCCTCAGCTTGGTCGGGTAATCGGTGTGCACGCCAGTGACGCCGAGATCGTACACCTTGCGCCAGCTATCCTCGTCGTTCACCACAAACACGTACGTCTGCAAGCCGGGGTACACAAGACACACAGAGGGGAAATCCCCACAGCTTAGATACAAGTCATAGCTCAAACACGTACGTCTGTCTGTAAGCCGGGATACACAAGACACACAGAGGGGGAATTCCCACAGCTTAGATCACCACAAACACGTCCGTCTGCAAGCCGGTACACACAACACAGAGGGGAAATTCCCCACAGCTTAGATCACCACAAACACGTCCGTCTGCAAGCCGGTACACACAACACAGAGGGGAAATTCCCCACAGCTTAGATCACCACAAACACGTACGTCTGTAGACGGGTACACACAACACAGAGGGGGAATTCCCCACAGCGTACATAACAATCATAGCTTGACAATACAGCGAGACCTCAGTATAAAGTGCACTTTACAAAGAGAAGGGGAATCTCGTAAGTGCAGTGCATGGTCGAGCTGGCCACTCAAAACCAACCGATCGTATAGCAAAGTCGCCATTGGCTTACCGTCCGGACAGGTGATGACTAGCTACTGGTCACGCTATACTTGCACAGCGTGATTTCAGAAAACTGAGAAAGTTGTGAAACCACGCCACACCCGAACAGGAGAGTTACGCAGTGCAAATCTCCCAAGACAGGCAGGCACGTATCCCCTCCAGGAAACCCTGACAAGAAAACTAAACTAGAAATGACACTACGCTATAGCACACTTTCAATCTCCCCTGCATCGAAAAGAAGATATAATTCTAAAAACTTAGCAATTCTCACCTCAATTCCTCGTTTCTGTAGATAGCCTATGACGAATCGATTCACCAGCAGCCTGCACACAGACAACAGAAGGGTGGATGCAATCATAACACTAAAGAGTTATTATTGGCGATGGTGCCCTCGTGAGAATAAAGAATTCAAGTCAAACAAGTGTCCTCTAGACACAAATGCATGGCCAAGTGAAAAAACAACAACATATCCCCCCCCCCCCACACACACACACATACACACACACACACACACACACACACACACACACACGCGCGCACACACATGTGTAACCAAGGATATGCGAGAAAGAAGAACGCTAAACGAATGATGCCGAAGAGAATGCATTTCATTCGTCACTCACGCCTGAGCCACAGTGACCAGAAGGCGGATATATCCGGGAAGCTGGTGGAAACGCGCTCTGCAGACGACAACATGAAAACACACACACACACACACACACACACACACACACACACACACACGCACACACACACACACACACACACACACACGCGCACAGCATTTAATTTTTCTAGATTTACACTGTATGCTGTGGTGACTTTCAGAAAGAAATCAGACGCCATCCATCTCGTATCATTTCACACGACTTTACAGGAGAGGCAGAGATGAGGGGTGCATTTAGTGGCCATTTACTCGTCTGACTTGCTACCCCAATGCGTCGGGAATTTTCAGTCTGGATCAATATTTCCTCGCATGCAATACACAGGAAACACCTGGCCTAGGACTGCTACCATCTACGCAACCCATGTGATCCTAAACTGGGGGATAACCAGCAGGAGGCAATCCGATCAAATTCAAAAGTCGTTATATTATACTTGCTAGCCGGCTGACAGCGATGTCATTATTCGACAGTGATGTCATAACTAGAACCCCCCATAAACTCCCCGCAAGCCACAGCCCCTGTACACCTAAGACTGCTCTATTCGCCACGGCCGCCCCTGAGTCATGCTTACCTCAGCTCGGGCGTGGAGTACGGGACTTCAAAGACGTGCTCCCGCAGTGGCATGAACGCCAGTGCGCCCGACCAGAAGTACAGACCCAGCTTCATGACACGACCGGCGGAGAAGTACACAGGAATGCTTGGGTCCTGCAAGAACAAACAAACAAATTCATGGTTCGCGTGACACTCAACTAGACTGAGCTTCCCGCATCCGTAGAAACACCACCACTCTATTATTTGGCTACTTGACCCTGCAACCTCCCACCCCCCCCCCTTTTTTCGATGCCAGTTTGCAACGCTAACGCCGAGACCTCTGGTCGGTCGAGTTGCTCCCTGTACATCGGCACGTCGTCCCTACATCTCCTGTGTCTTGTTTCGTGTTTGTCTCCACATGTCTCTATGTTCCCAGTAAAAAAATTTAAAAAAACCTCTGCCAAGATCAAAGGTGCGGAAAAAGCATCTGCACCTCCGAAAAGTCGATGCAGGTTATACTACGATGGTCCAAATAACAGTGATGAACAGGAGAGATGTCTGTAATTCGTGACAAATATAATCTGGGTGCGTCTTCTTCTTCCTAGGTGACGTGCTTGAGTGGGATTTATCCAAGAAAATACGGCACCTTTTGGTTTCGGTGCGTTTTATGTCCCCATGACGCCGAGACCTCAGGTCGGCTGAGGACAAAAAGCCTCACCATCATTATGCTCCTACTATGCAATTGTTTGTCCTTGCCTGTGAGCTGTGATCATTGTAAAAATAAAAAAATAAAAAACCTGAAGGTAGGCTGCATGAACAATTGAAAAGAAGTTGAATCTAACCTGTTTGTAACACATCTCCAGTACATCGTTCTTGCTTGAACCCCAGATAACACTCCGGGTGCGATTATACCGCTGCAGCATCTCCGCAGTCTGTGGATGCAGACAAATATGAGAATGTGTGTGTGTGAGAGAGAGAGAGAGAGAGAGAGAGAGAGAGAGAGAGAGAGAGAGAGAGAGAGAGAGAGAGAGAGAGAGAGAGAGAGAGAGAGAGAGAGAGAGAGAGAGAGAGAGAGAGAGAGAGAGAGAGAGAGAGAGAGAGAGAGAGAGAGAGAGAGAGAGAGAGAGAGAGAGAGAGATTCAGAAAGAATCTTGGAAAGATAACTCAATTGGCTATTGAAGCACATAACGGCTAACTGCCCCCGAAAACTCCAAACTCTGGGTGAACACGGAAAAGTTTCCACTCACGGGCTCACCACACCTCAGTAAGTGGGTGAGGACAAGGTGCAGGAAAAGGATTGATGGCATCAAGGTATCCATCTTGGGATCGAACTTCATCCCCCCCCCCCCCCCCCCCCCACACACACACATGCTTACACACATACGCTTACACACAAGGCCTGTGGAGAATGATTTAGGGGTGAAAGTTGGCACTGAGATCCCGAGTTCGAGTACTCTGATTTTCTCCGATCGAATATTCGAGTATTCTTGATATCCTAAAAATCACACACCAACCGCCTCAAAAATCACATGATACAACCCTGATTGAACAGATTGGCAGTTCTTTTCTCGGGTATATTGGTTGGTGGGTCATTTGGGCTCTCTCTACTCGTGTACAAATGTTCACCACATAGTCTGCACATCAATATCTGCTGACTGCTGCTCTGAAGCTGCAGACTTCTGTGGTAAATGCATGTACCATGTATGAGCGAGTACTCTGATTTATTCCGAGTACGATTATATTTGAAAAATCCAAACGAGTATTCGAATATTCGGTATAATTGTTTCACCCCTAGTCCGAGAATTCATAAAATAATACAAAATTAATACAATACAAAAAATACAATACATACACACACATGTACACACACACACACACACACACACACACACACACACACACACACACACACACACACACACACACACAGAAGCGAGCACAAACCTTCTCCACCAATTCCTGGCTGCCACTCTTCAGGTCGATATTTAGCACGGTGTTGGGAAACTCGTGCAGCAGGTCTTCAAACAGCGCTATCTTCGTGTCCTCGCACACACGTTCACAAACGCGCCCAGCTACAATACAGGACATACAGAAAACAGCACATAAACACACACCCATATCAGTTTGTTGTAACACATGTATTACTTGGAATGTTTGGGACGTAGATTTTTAAAAATTACGGTTTGCTATAGGCACAGAAGCGTAAGCTTTGAACTTCGCAAACTCGTGAAATTGAATGCGACCGTCGTGAGTTCCCTCTCGGAACGGACACAACAATATTTTTTGGAGACATGGGTCAAGGAATGGAGGCAATGGGCTTGGAACAGAGACGCAGATCTAGGAACAGAGTGATGAGTCTAGGAACGGAGTCATGGGTCTAGGAACAGTGTCACGGGTCTAGGAATGGAGTCAATGGGCTTGGAACGGAGTCATGAGTCTAGGAGCAGAGTCACGGGTCTAGGAATGGAGTCACCGAGCTAGAAACAGCCAATAAGCTGTGCCTACTCCCACTGTTGTGCGGCCCGCGAAATTACAAAGAAGACATCAGGTGCGCTAAACGTTTCTCACAACGTAGCACAGCCCACACACAGAGTATGTCTGATCTTTCCCCTGATCAGTATGCTATCGTTCTGTCACGTCCCGGAAATTTAGAAAGCGCCAGGTAGGAAGCAGCTTTTCGAACTCACGGTCAAAAGTGATTTCAAGGTATTGGTTTAATGGTGGCAGGTCCTAGCAATGGCACAGGAGAAAGGAAAAAAAGGACAAAGGAACAAAGAAACGTGTGTGAGTAGAGCAGTCAACGGGTAGTAGGGTACACGTGCTACCCGTGATTAGAGCCGGTATCCGGGTGACGGTTAGATCCAGAGAACCCGGTCGGGTAGTTGGAGTACCCTGTTTTCGTAACGGTGCGTGTAAGAAGCGCGGCTACGTGTGTACTGTACACGTTCTATGTGGCGCAAGTGCACACTCATTGTACAGACTATGTCAAAAATACCCGATAGGATATCTATGCTACCCGGATAGAAATACCCGGACTCGTTACCCGACCAAACCCTTACCCGTTGCAGCCCTATGTGTAAGTAAGGAGTAATGCAAGAAAGAAGGAGAGGAAGGCGCCAACAGGGGGGAGAGGTGCCCCCCCCCCCTTCATCAAGAACTTAGATGATGGACTACATGTAGTTGAAGCAAGTGGTGATACGTTCTGTCCAATACACCCACCCCCTTCCCGCGTATTACCACACACCTTCCCATCCGCGTACCCATACCCCCCCACCCCCACACACACACACGCACCCCCCCCCCCCCCCCACACACACACGCAAAGCACACAGACACACACACGCACACGCAAAACACAATCCTATTTCACGTACAGCATAATTCATCTCCTCCACAGTGCCTTCGTGACCAGTCGACCTCTTCAAGTCGCTATCATGACAGATAACAATCTAAACACATACAAGAGCAGAAAAGATTACGTTTACACATTCGCGCCACCATCAGCTATCCAATGATGTTGAGAAACACAAAAAGCTAAGGAAGTTTTGCTTGTGCCAGGACATCAGTAAGCAGACAAGATAACACAAAGAAAAACAACGCCGGGTGTGTGAAGAGACAAGGCAACATTTCCTGCGCCCATTCTTGTACCCAGACCATCTGGTAAAAGGAGAGCGATCGCTCTCGCGCGCCTTCGCTCTCCTTATTTTCTTTTAGGGCGCACTTTTCGTCGCGCGCCTTGAGAATTTCGAGCGCATCCGCATCACTATGAAGTTCTGAAAACACTCAATATTTCGTAACTCGGCTTTCCCTGAACGGAATCGAGTAATCGAAAGGACTATTCGCATTAGAAAGATCTCAGCTGTCGGCTCCAACAAATCGGAAGTCGATCCGAGGTCCAATAGTGGAGTTACGGCACTCGCAAAGTATTTTACGTACCGTTGCAAATTTTCACTTCCGCACTTGGGCGGCAATCATAGATTCATAGTATTTTTGCATAAAGCCTAGGATTTCCCTCTGTTGCGTGACAGTCCGGGCATGCATAGACCTGTGTGACGCCAGGCACAGGTCTTTAGCGGTCAGCTACAGAAGAAAGGAGCGCTCTACGATGAATACTATTACTACAAAAATACCATGGATCTTAGCGAATTGTCTCAATTTCCCATTGCGTGTGCCATTGTCCCTGATGAAGGGAAACTAAAGCTGTGGTCCGAACAGCTTTCATTTGTAGTGCGTACAGCGATTTTCCAGAACGAATTTGGCAGCTATTGGGTATTGAATCCGATTGGGGTATGGCAAGATATTGAAAAAAAAACTGTATTGTGTTCGCCTTGGATAGATAAGGCAAGCGACTTTTTTTGGGGGGCCCGGGGGGGGGGGGGGGGAGGGGGGGGGGGAACTGCTCTCCCATCACTCTCCTTGAGAGGATAGCGAGAGTGATTGTTCACTCTCCTGGATTTTTCTTACACAAAGGTCTGTGTACCTCTGCTACTATGCGCAGGGTTGATTAGTGGAGCTTGCACTTGTGAATAACGTAACGCTGCGTGTGAGTGCAGGGTCTTAAAACAAGAGTGAAATATCGTGCCCGTTCCGGAAGGGAACTCACGACGGCCGCCAACACCCGATAGACCCTTAGTGTAGTGTACACTGCAGTGTATAGTGAACAACTCCATGCCATGCAAGCGTCGCCTCCTTCTCAATCGGTGCAAAATTCAGCTCCGCCGGTGACAGCGAACGAGAGGCATATGAGACAATCACTATAGACTACGCTTAGTGCTTGGATTCCACCAAGCACAGCATACCAGTGCACACGCGGCGACTCAACTGTGCATAGACTGTACAGTGCCGGTCCGGCGGAACCGCTCCGTTTGATCAGGCCAGATGACAGGACCAACTCTTTGGCCAGCAGCGCATGTTTCTTGCAGAAGAGGTCGTGTACACCCACCGCCATATCATACACAAAGTATGAACGCCCACGGTATGGCCGGACCGATCAAAAACTGCTTCCACCGGTCCTGCTATAGTGCATGAAAGTAAGAACGGTCTAGGCTGCGAGCCTTACCCCCCCCCCCCCCTGCCACGTTCTTCGGCAACCACCAGTACTGTAGTCACTCTGCTTACCTGTTTGTCCTTGGTGAGGTGCAGGTCAAGCTCCAGTATGTCTGCCTTGGTGTCGAGCACGGCGTGACGAAACGCTCCCATCGTGTTCTCCAGGTACTCGCCGGCACCTGTAGCGTGAGCGCATTGGGCATGTCACAACAACACAGCACACACACAGTGGCCCAAGGGTTAGCAGATACTGCATAACACATTGATTTTGGTCTATTTTATTATTTTACTTAGCATGCATTGATTTTTTCTTTTTTCCAAAAACAACAAGTACCTCCAAAGCATACAAAAAGCCATTTTGGTGTAATTTTAATTTCGGTAATTCCGGTAGAGAAACCAGGCACCTAAATTTAGATTACACCTAAACAGGCACTAGAGTATGCACTGAAGGTGCAGGGAACGCTGGTCACCTAATTCTAAAGTACACAGACGCGTGCTCGGCGATGGGCACGGGGGCACGTGCACCCCCCAAAAATTTTCAATCTGATCCAAGGCAATTGTAATGTATGCAAATATGCTCAAAAATTCAAGAAAGGGTGCAAACAAATTGCAGAAAATTGCCGGGGGGGGGGGGGGCTCCCCTCGGCTCCCGTGCACCCCCCCCCCCCCTAGTTGGGGGGCCGAGCACGCCCCTGGTACACCTGAAACCTGACAGGTCCCTGATGCCGAAATTTTACTACACCTAAAACGACACGTTATACAGTAACGGGAATGATGAATATTATACAGTAAAGTCAGACCTTGCTTATCCGGTCCTCTTTTATCCGGATCCCTCGCCATCCAGAAGAAAATCGTTGGTTACCGATTTACAGCATACGTCACGCATACATACAGTATGTGTGTTCGATTATCCGGTTCCCTCGCCTATCCGGATATTTTTGTTGAAAACGGATGTGTGCGGTTATGCGAGGTCTGACTGTAACAGTTTTCGAATCACGTCCCCAAATCAAGTCAACATGACACATTGGACTGCTAGTACAACTCTTTGCGCAGTCACCATACGCCAACACTCCCGGTTACCATGCACCATATTCACCCACTATCAGCACACAACTCCCAGGGACAGGATCGCTTCAACACGAAAGAGAACGGGGCACTGGTAGCGTTCTGCAAACACTACATCTACAATGGCATTTCATAACAATACCTTACGGTCGGAAGGGGAGGGGGAGGGGGATTGCAAAAAGGATCAGATTGTATCTATAAAAATAAAAATCCATGGTTCGCATGAGACTCCTTGGCCAGAGGCATAGTTTTCCGCGTCTGTAGGAACGCCGCCACCCTCAAGGGCCAAGGCGCAGATACAGCTCCTACAGCGGTGGGAGGCGAGTACATGTAGATCAGACCCACCGCCAAAGTCTATGCTTGCGTAACAAAAAATTCTCTGTGACTGAGGCAAATTACGGAGAAAAAAGAAAGAAAGAAAAAGATGGGACAAACTTTATTAATTTACAGGCTCACCTCCGCGGTGCGCTATGAGATATCCGTCGAAAAGGTGTGGTACCTTGCGGTGCAGCAGGCATGGCCACATGTACAGCAGCACGCTGGTCAGCGCATACACGCCAATGGTGGATCCGATCGCCACGCCGACAATATCGCCCGTCGACAACGTCATCTTGTAGCCTGCTGAAGAGTGAACAACGAGAACAGAACGAATTGCAGAAGAGTGGAGGGGAGAGGGGTGGAGGGGGGAGAGGGACCAGACATGTTTCTGGTTTGAGCATCGCTGACCTCAGGCGATGGTCCCTGGTTCGAGTCTTGGTGGTGACAGTCAATTGTTTCTTCGGACTTTTCCCGTTTGCGACTTTCCCTCAAACCAATGAATGGTTTAACATCCAGAAACACAACTATTTCCAGAGGTATAGAGTAAAGAAAAGAGATTAGGACCTGCACACCTGAGGGTCAGTCAGGACAACACGATTGTCGTGTAATACTTACCTAGGGATGTCAACGAGTAGTAGGGCACCCGTGTTACCCGTAATTTGATCAGGTAGTAGGGTAGCAATTTGCTTCTGAGAACCCGATCGGGTAGTTGTAGTACGGTGTTTTTGCAACGGTGCATGTAAACAGCATGGATACGTGCTACTGTACACTTTCTATGTAGCGCAAGTGCACACTCACAGTACAAAACTGTCAACAAATACCCGATAGGGTGCCCGTGCTACCCGGATAAAATACCCAGACCCGTTACCCGACCAAACCCCTACCCGTTGCAGCCCTAGTAGTAGTAATACTACAGGTATACAATGTGCTGGTTTTGTAGTTAGTATGTCTAGCATGCAAAGTACAGTACTCTGGCATATCTGTGTTACGTTTGTTACAATTCGTTCTGACGAAGCTTCCCCACCACGTCTTACATGGAAGCATAGAATACTAGTACAGCTTTCCGAGTTGGGTGGTTGTGGCGTCGTGTCGTCGCATTGTGGTTAGACCGTACCGCCCAATGGCCTCACCGTTCCATCACCGTCACAAGCAAGCATTCCGTGGAGCCTCAGAATGTAGCGTGTGCTAAGGTTTGGGTGGCAAATCCGTTCCCCTATTGCATCATCGCGCACAACCATAGACTTCAAGTTCCTGGTTGGAAAGCTCATCGTTAGCGCTATTCGAGTTCAGGGTCATGCCATGGAATGCCTCAGTACTCCTTGACTATCATAGGTTCGTGCTAAATTTCCACACCTGACAGTACAACACACCCGGTATGTTTGGTGGATTCTAAAGCGTGCCCCAAAATTTTCCTATTTCCCCGTAAGCTCAGGGTTCAGAGTTCAGATTGCGTTAGCCATGACCCCTTTCCGAGTAGAGCTCCGGAAGGTGAACGTCCTGGCTCAGTGGTAGACCTGGAGAACACCAGGCGTTGCTCATTCCGTTCATTTGCCTCATACCCATGATAACATTTACACGGTGCTGCACGTGTGGGTTTTGAAATTTTCAGTTGGGCCCAGCAAACAGAAACACAAGGAATTACGTACCTTTGGCCTGGCGTGGAGATGCTGAGGTGCTGCGAAGTCTGACGTTCTCAACACTGAGCCTTCGACCACGGATGTCGTTGATCACTTGTTGGAGAATTTTCCGTGCAATCGAGGAGCTGCTACCGGTATTCCTGCCAGCTGCCTTCCGACTGGCTCGGCAAATCACCATCCACTGCCCACGAAAGGACCGCGTTACGGACTGAAGCCACTTGATGACAACGACAACAACAAAAGGGACACAACGTTATGAGTATGCTCCAAGAGAGACTGAAATATAAAGGGAGATGAAGTATGAAGCACGGGTGGTGGCCCTTACAAGCTTCGACATTTGTTACAACAAGTCCGTCCCGATCATTTTTTCTTTTTGATTTGGACTTCAAATCTAAAGAGTAAAGTCTGTCTTTGTACTCGCGCTGCTTCACTCGGAGGAAAGGTCTGGAAGGCAGCTGCCACGTGGATGCATGATTGCACATGCACACAGCCCAGAATCTTATGTCATCGCGATCTGAATGACACATCACACATATGTCATGCGCCCCATGTAAAAAGTTAGTTATAACTAATAATACTTATAGTTTGAAAAACAAACATTTCAAA